TTTTTTTGTTACTATTTTTAAAACGCCGCAGTACTTTAAGGGCATGCCCCAGGATCAACATTGGTGTGGCTCTTGTACACGAATGCGAATGTACTTGGTGGAAGTGGGCCGGCAGTAAAGAAAAAAAAAGGAAAAGAATCCGTCAAAAACGCTTAGGTTAAGGGCTCACTCACCTTCCTAATCGGCTGTGCTAAGGGAATGAGAGACTAAGCGCGGAGAGGAGAGTATGAGGCGAGAGAGCACTACAGATGAGAGAGCGCCAGACAACAGCCTGATAAGAGAAAAAAAGTCTGCAGCTTGGGCAGCTTACTTTGCAAGGCCTGAGCGCTCTTATCGGTTGGTTTCCCGTGCACGAGAACGCCACATTTGTGATTGTCCTCTAGGGGTCTATACTACAAACCGAAGAGAAGCGTTCACACGACCTGTGCCTGGGTTGTGCCTTTAAGCTATACACGCCCACCTTAACTCCCATTCCTTAATCCCATAATCTTCTTTTATCCGACTAGTTCTTGGATGTCAGGCGGAAGTAAGTTTTACCATATGAATACGTCAGTTATGATTATTAGACACTACGTACAAAGCTTCACAAAGCTTCATTTTTCCAAGGAAAACAAATCTTTGAAGATCACGTTTCTAGGGAGGATCGAGGGTAGGTCGGGTGGAGACAAGGGAACGCATGGAGAGAAGGACGTTTTGGGACGGTCACTCAGGGAACGTATTGAAATACATACGGGATTAAAGTGGGCTTAACAAGGGAACATAGAAATCGACGAGGGGCTGCAGTAGAGAAGGCCAAATGTTTATGCCATAGGTGAAAAGGCCGTAGTTCAGGTTCCCCGAGAACCAAGTGGATTCGTTCCCTCACCAACACTTGTGACAGATGCACGGCGGGAATTCAAACGCTTACACAGTCCTTTTGGTTTCTCGAATTTCACGCTATTTTCGCTCGAGCTATTTTTCTGCTCTTTTCGTTGACATTGTAAATGGTGGGTCTGAAGCTGTGATTTGTGGGTAGGTAGAATTCGTGATTTTCCAGGCCGATTTCTTAACACACTGACGAGTGCCGTTTTAGTCGTGCCTTTAATTTTTTTGGAATTTCATTGGTAGTAATGGCATTCACCAATAATTTCATTAAGAGAAAAGTTCGATTTTTCTGTTGGCTAAATGCATTTGGCCACTCTGGAAGGGCGAATATGAAAGGCGATTAAACTAAAACGGCTTCCTCGTTAAGGAAAATGCGGGATTATGTATCTCGCCTGTCTCCAAAGTAATGAAACAAATGTCAAGCTTGTGGTCATCAGTAGACAATTTCAGTGCACTAGTCTGTGATTTCAATCGCTTCGTCATTCCAAGCAAAAGAACAGTATGCACGGCGTACTCCGACGAACTGAATCGGTCATATCACTTTTATGGTTTCTTTTTCAGGTCTTCCAAGGTTGACACCCTGGTTCACTGATAAGATCTGCTCTCGAAATTGTCAGACACTGTCTCAGAGCTCATTCCAACATGGCTAAATTCATCGATCACGGGAGCCCTTCATCAGCTGATACAGCAGTTAATGGTAAGATTTCCGATCAATACATCGATTACCTTTTTTCTCCATATTTCTTTCTTTGACGATGTTTTTGAATCGATGATTCGAAGCATTCTGGGAACGTGACATTGGGCAGCCGAATTGTTTTCACATTTCACATTTCGAGCGGAAGTGTCGAATATATAACAAGGCTACCAGTAATTATGCAAATTACAGTCGCCAGACGAAAACATTCAGAGGCACAGACCAGCTCGAGCGAACCACTCAGGCACTGAAGTCAACAGCCTCCCCAAGTAGAAATGGACCGACTGACTGACCGATCCAACAGGTATCGGCAAGCTTTTGGGCTAGCGATCACAAAAGGAGACCCAGACAGAAGTAACCATTGTGTGGTCATCGAAACAGCGGTCAGATTGGGTGCACGCGCGACGGCCGCCGCGACCACCTACGGCCATCTGTCGCGGCGTGGGGGATCGATCGTGGGAGAGAGTGTGCAGGGGGTCGAGTGCACGAGCCAACGAGACGTCCACATACACACACACGGTACACACGCATCGTCTTTCCGACGCGTCGCAGCTCGTGCTCAAGTCGTCTGTGGCCCACCTGAACTCGAGTAACCCCACCTGGACACCCTCACCCTCGACGAAGGGCAACAGCGCTGACGGCGGCTTTCATCAAACCGGAAGTGGTGCGACTTTGGTCGTGTCCCGAACTGCCTGCCGAACTGGACCCGTATAATCCACAATTGGCCATGGCGCAAGACGCCTTCATCGATCCATGGCATCCCGGAAGGTAATTAATTATTTTTATCGTTTCTTATTTTTATTCTTTCATGGTCTATTGATTTCCAATAAGTGAACAATACAAGTTCTTTTCGTGATTGATTCACTTCGAAGTGTGCAGAGTTCCATTGTGCTGTTGATGGCGCTATCTCTCCGACGTTTTTGTAGCCATTTTAAGAATCATCTGTTCTCTTTGTCTATCGGCCGGCCAAAAAATGGAAATCATCTTTCGAAATCAATTCACATCGCATCCTTTTAACAGAGTTTCTCTCATCGACTGCTATATTTTCGTACCCGTCCTCGTCCTTCCACCTGCTTTCGTTACCTCGTAAAGCTCAAATGGGGATTTATAGCTTTCATATCCGATAGATCATATAATTATCAAATTTAATTTTTCATTATTTATAACCAGTTTAGCTCCGCACACTACCGCGTGCATGGCATCGAAGGCTTCGGTGAAACTGGACAGTCGGTGGAGGTCAAATTCCACCGGTACGAAATAAAATTCTTCGTGAAATGCGTTAGCTGACTGTCCGCTTGATACGCGCGGTGGAGTGCGGAGCTAA